CCAGCCTCTCTCTCCACTTCCTGTAAATCCGTTGCATATTGAGCAAGGCCGTGTTGGGCACGTTGAAGAAGTGCGTAAGCTTCTATTCCGACATCATTATCGACCTGGGGGTGCTCTTGGAAAAAGGTTTGAAGGGCATCGCTTAGTTGCTGATAATCAACAGGAACGTGTTCCGACATTATAGACTATGGTGTTGTATTGGTTGGCGATAGAGGACGGAACCTTAGTGTAACGGGGGTCTATGGGCGTAGGGACTATAGTGCCAAGGAATACAACCGAGGCAAGGACGTAGCAATAGGTATTCTTGGCTATGGACTATGGGATGGTTCTACCTGGTATGACAGACCAGTCGAACCCTATGAGGAGGCGTAGGACAAACGTAGTATTCGTGGAGTAAATACAAAGGTTCCGTGAAGAGAAAAGGAAAGGAAAGGAAACATGAAAAGGCACGAGGCAACGCCCCCTTATATATCCAACCCCTAGTCCATTGATGACTAATCCTCCGCGTAACGGAAACCGAAAGAACATAACAGAAACCCCATTACAAATCATAGTTCAACTGCGCAATGCTTCCTCTTCACGATCCAATCCATCATTCTAGCCGGAATATAATATTGCCGTTACACTAGTATTAGGCTATTGTGATGGCATGCTTACTATTGGGTGTCTCACTCAGAGCAGAATAGAAGTGGGGCTTACAGCTGCAGGCTGTTTTACTTAGGAAAGTTGTTCTAGGACAATAATATGATAGAGCCCGATGACTGCCAATTGCAAGGTTCAAGGTTACGTGTCGGAATGAGAATGAAGGGTGGGACTATCATGATGCGGGGGCGCTTTTCTATCTGGGCTATCTTCAGGGCATTAGGTTATTCTATTATCGTAGTTCTAGATAGTATGAGGGAGCGGGCCTTGGCATAGGTTCCAACATTTATACATAGGGCAGGATTCTCTGAAGATTTAGAGGTATCATCAGCCAACAAGTCAAGGGAATCCGGTTTAAAATATCATCAGTTTAAACGCTACAGAATTATCGCTTAGCACTAGCCATTTCCCCAAACAAAACGAGGTATCAAATGAGTGTGTGTTCAGTACAACGAGATGACTACAAGTACTCTGCCGTCGTAGACAATAAAGAAAAGCGATTTTCGCACAACAAAGAAAACAGGGGCGATAAGCGGTGTAAAGTATAAAAGGAATAGGAAAACCATGGCAAAAGTACATTTAAAATCGCTCCTACTATCAACTCAACATTGCGTCTTGACTCCGCAGATTCAGTGTTTTACTACTGTTCTACCCTGCCATCGCCTCTGCGACACTCCGGTGGTTGCCACGCCTGGCCGCACCGCTCGAGGCTCTCCCGCTGAGAGCTGAGCGAACCCCTTTTCTTTCCGGTGTGAATCAGGCTCCTCCCGTTCTCCAGTCCCCTCCTTTTCTATAACGGGGATAGTCTTTCCACGTATCGCTAGAATCTGATAGAAAGATATGGCCGTGGAAGATAGAAATCAGGTTTAGATTATTCAAAGATTTATCGCTAAGAACTCAATAATCTTTAAGGACTCTGCTACCGAGTAGAAAATTACTTAATAGCTCCGATGAAGACTTGGGAGAAACGGATAGTTGAGCGGGAACGATCCTGAGTACTTATACTCCAAAGGATTCTGTTCCGCTGCTCTTACTTCCTTACTAAGTTCCGGTAGTACCTTCTAGAGGAAAGGAAACAATACCACTGCTACCCCGCTTCTCTCTAAGCGGTAACGGGTGTTTCCAGTTCCGAAGGTAACCACTCTTAGTCAAAGCCTTTGTAACACCTACAGTCTGGGTTGTCGCACAACCGGGACATGCATGAATTAGTTACCGCTCAAGTGTAAGCTTAATCGTTGCTGTAGAACTCTTCGCTTATTTTAGCTTCCCAGGCAAGGTCTCTGCCCCTACTGGCAGACTTATCATGCTCAGAGGATGTAGAGGATCGCTGAGCACTCAGAGCTTCACTCTGGCTGGCCTTCTAATCCTTGACGATGTATAGACTCGTCAGTCGTTACTCCCATGAATAGATCCTCTTCCTAACGCTCAGAATGTAGTTGCTCTGACAGTTGGTAGCTAACCACACTGCCGGTACTTGGATGTCACTGTGCAACTGGTTTCTAACAATAACTCCCCGCATGTAACCGGGCCCTGTATGTACTCTTACACCAGACAGTTGAAATGGCTCCGTTACACTTTCGATCTTATCAACTTTCCTCTTCGTCCTTCTTTTCGAAGTGTTTGTGGAAGTGGCAGGGGGTGGTATCTGAGACTGGTTGCGAGTCCCCACCACACCATCGTGTTGGCGACTTTTTATCCAGATTTTCTATTTTCTCTCCTGAACATTCTTTGGTTGGAGGATTTTGATCAGTGGCCAGATTTACTTTGATATTCACTGTCTTATAATTGCTCTCTGATTCTGTCTTCTCGTTACTATCCCATACCGAAGGACTAAGAGAGCTTCTCCAGTCCTCAACTAGCTCTTCTGTCCCAAATTGCGGTACTGCCATCAATTTGTACCATAAACTATCAAATTCTAGTGGCTCTCCTCCTGTTAAATCATAGTCCCCACCATATCCGTACAAACTCTCCATATCGCTCTCATCGCTCTCTTACAGCAGTTATCCCGCGCCGGCCTTCAAATACATGATACATGAAAAGATGCTGTGAAGCTGCCGGAGTAGTGGATGCATTAGTGGTAGCTTCCGCGGGTTGTGTTTTGTGAATGTAATGAGATGACAATTGGAGATTGTGGAGCAGAGCACTATCCTGTTGCCCACAACTCGAACTCTAGTAAACAGGCCAAGATCCTTGTTAGGATTCTCTTTTCCGAAGATGCCGACGTGAGCGTTGTACTAGGAGATTGAAAAAAAGTTAGCAGTGATCGTGGAAATATATAAATATTACACACGCTAGGTACGAATGTATAGAATGTAGAAATAGGGCATTGTGACATCGGTTATGTATGGAATTACTCATGTATAAAGGATGACTCATAGAAGGAATACGGGATTCAGACATGGCTTAGTGTGAGGGATTATGTAATCAGGAGATCACGTGGTATTAGATTGTCTGTCTATATAGAGTCCTCAAACGCCCACATTGTCGCTGGAACTTCAGCTGCATAACAGTATCTTCTTCGCACTTCAAAACAAATTCTCCCTCAAGGTCATGTATTCAAATCATACCCAAGTCATTTTCTCCCACACTCCAAACTTCATAGAATAGGTTGGGTGAGTAAGTAATGTCGACTTCAACCCAAACACCTACTTTATCCAACATCTGGCCTCTGCACAAGCCAGCTTCAAGATCCTCCAAAAATTCTCCTCCCCCGGGAAAGGCCTCTCCTCATACAACTGTAGAAAAATTGCCCTACTGGCGATCCACCCAATGCTTACATATGGGGCCTCCGTCCAAACCTCCACCAGCTCCTTTAAGGCTATGAACAATTTTTGGAACTCAGTCCTCAGATGGACTACCAGCTGATTCAGAGCAACGAACCAATCTGTTGTCTGTGCTGAAGCTCACTATCCCCCCTTCGTTAACTACATCCACTACCTAAAAACAAAGTTCGCCATCCACGTCCTATTCGCACACCCCCTCAACAACCCAGTGACAGGATGCTGCCACCCTCTTTCTCTACCCTGACCCCTAACGGGGTCCCCTCCCACACCTGACTCCTACGCACCTGACCGAACCTATACAAGAAATGGAACTCAACGGCAACAAAAGGAGTTGCCTACCTCCTCATCGAAGACCTCCGCTCCCTACTCTGCAACTCAATTGCGCATGGAACCGACCACAAACTCCTCCCAAAACAAGCCAAAGAAAAGATGCCGAAAAATTGGGCATCTGACATCCCAACACCCCCCTACGACTCCCTCCCCCTTCAAGTTACCACAAGCCCTGAGCCCTTGATGGACTTACACAAATTCACAGCTACTCGAATCCATCAAATGAGAGCCCAAAAAAACTACCTCAGAGGCCACAAATCCTGACTCAACCTCCACCTCCCCGATACGTGCGACAAATGTAGTGAAGGCCCAGAAACCACCGAAATGCCATCCTCATATCCCAAGCAAAGGCAACCCAATGCTCCCAGCCCCTCCCCAGAATAAACATCTTCGAAGAAATCTTGAGCAACCCTATCAATACTCTGGCTCTAGAAGCCTTCATCGCAGCCACGAAGATGAACTTCCCGAGGAAGAACAGCATCTCTCCCCTCCTGTCTGGATCTGAGTCATCAAGCTATTTCAGCTCCCCCCCCTCCTCCACCGAGCCAACGCAGAACCCTCCATAACATGGGACCAAACACCCATAAGACCCCCAAGGGCAACAGGTCACTGAAAGCCGGCGGGAAGGATCTCTTATGTCTGATATGGACCGCCAAGGATTATTGAATTTCTTAGTCATCACTTAGTACGTCAGCGCAGTAACTATTTCATCATTTCCTTTGTTCTTCAGGGGACGTGTCATTTGTTGTTCTTCAAGCTGGGGAAAGCAATTTTTATGCCATAGTCTATGACTGCATGCAGAGTTTTGTAACTAGAATCAATTAAAACTACATGATTTAAAAAAAAAAAAAAAAAAAAAAAGTAAGTAATGTTGCGAGTATTCCAAGCTTAAGTTGCCAACAATATTCCGGAGCGCCGTACATTAGTGAAAAACCTGGTTCTGGTACAGATCCACAGAATATACAGTCGAATCGATATGCAGGATTGTCAAGATTCGAAGGATTTCACACGGGATAGCAAATTAATTTTGCAGTAATAAAATTAAAATCTCAGATGATTTCGTACAGGACAGCAAGGGATTTGGCGTATTGAGATCTGGCATATCGAGTTGTGGCTGTATAAATTGTGTGGATATATATACCTGGGAGTCCTGTATCGCAAAGGATGGGAAGAAATCTGACTAGTAGTCAAAAGAAAGGCGATGTTTGAAATACCTTCGTTCGTATCTTTGCATCATAGGACGTGTTAATCTCCATTTCTGGGACAAGTTCCCACTTGTGTGTCAAAGGCGCGATGCTCCGAGGCATCCAATAACATCAAATTCTTCAAGTTATCTATACTATCTTCTGGCCCTAACAGACCTCTCTCTAACATGGCCGCCACATCCTCCTTCGAAAACATTCTTACGAGCGCACAGAAATGATTAATCTTATCCCCTCGTACCGAGTGCGGAATTATATGCACCACCTCCAGCGATGCAGTTGCCTGAGACAGTACTGATATATTTCTATCACGTTGGTGACACAGTCCCTTTAGGGCTTGACGGTGTGAGTTCTGTCTGTGTTGACTTTTGACATAATCCCTTGAGGAGGCTAATGTGAAAGATGTCAAGGGTGTTTGGCTGCGACCACTATGGGCCGCGAATGCCCTTAGGCCATCTCGAACCTGTTGATAGTGGTCTTGGATGTCCTGGAGGTTTATATCTTCCTTCGTGAGTTTATCCAGTAGCAGGCAGATGGTTGCGGTATCGGCCTGGTGAGTCTGTAGAACTCTAACTGCATAGTCTAGGGTAACCTTGGTACGCTTATCTTCGATGGTGCTGCAGTGATTTTCCCATGACTCAATAAGCATTTTCATAGGCGGGGATAGCTCCTCAATGCGAGCTTTGAGGTAGTTGGCTAGAGGTGTATCATTATTATCATCATTGAGCTGAATGTTGTAGAAATTATTGACATTAAGAGGTGTTAGCGGTGGGATCAAGACGGTACTCGTTCTTTTAGTTTTTGGGTGTTTGTTAGAGCCGTTAGTAGGTGTAGGAGTTCGGGGGGGCTTGGCGTGGGACAACATCCAGCTTGCTAATGGTGACAAATGTACAGTGTCATATCGTAAATGATCGTACGGCGTGAGGTCGCAACGCCCCAACGCCTGACTACAATGCCTGACCACAAATTTTTTCCACAGCCACCGATGGCGCCCAGAGACAGTACACCCCGTGTTCTTACAACTATTAGGTTTGGAAAGGTATACACCACAACCCTTATAACTCAGCGGTTGGAGGAGTGTGGGGTAGAGGTTCTGGAGGACTAGCTTGCCTATTCCCTTGACTTAAATCGCATTGAACATGTTTGAGTACATCTCAAGAAGCTTTACCATCAACACTACCCCTATTTGGGATATGATACTAGATTACCTTAAGTATTGAAGACCCTCATGGAGGAAGGTCTAATTCAATGCTGGGAACTGTTCCCTGATGATTTATTCTCTAGAGATTTGGTAGCTAGTTGAGAGCATGCCTAGGAGAATAGAGGTGTTATAAAGGCAAGGGGTTGGTATAGAAGATATTAAATGTCTAATTATTTTATTCAGCTACTATTTAACAACTATACAAAAAACCAGCTCTCCAAAGAGTCAATTGTGGTTGCTGGGTGGGTAGTCATGATGGGGCGTGAGGTGTCGAAACCCGTTGCTACGCCGCCCCATACGATGATTTACGACCCAGAACTATACCTAGTGTAAGCGTAGCTAGAAACCCTAACCCACATGGCAACCAGCGTACCCCATCAAAATCAACATATGCTATAGATATAGCAACGAAAGCCTACGGCGCACATCTTACTGGGGTAGTTGGATGGGGGACCTTCGGCCCCCATTAATGCACCCTCATATATATTAAAGTTAGAGTACTCTACTTTCAACTCGGGGTCGCGAGGTGGTCCCCCCAGTCGAGTAGGTACACACACCCGGTAGTAAAGTACTAGAGCCACTTCAACTGGCCATGGCCAGTAGTTACTACTAGTACAATTACAAATGTCCTCGTTCTACTGCTCGACGCAGTCCAGCCTGCTCAGTATGAAGACCACGATTCCTCCACCTGAACACCGACACCGCTGCCCACTAAGTCCTCGATGCTCCCACCTCTAGCACTATTGTCGGGACTACCCCTATTTGCACAGGTCTCCCTTACGATCTTACACCAACCAATTGTTATGTTATACCAACCTCCGTCGAGAAATCAATATCTTCACTGGCTCAGGGCTTCTGTACACGGTGGACCATCCTTTAGCTCTATTCCTATCATATAAGCTAAAAAAAAAAAAGCACACCGGTTTCCTGCAAGAAGATAATTTTATCACTTCTATTTACACTAGTGGCTCGTGCGTTTGTAATAGGGCGCTGTGGGCGATAGAACCTAAAGAGAACGATATGAATCCCATTGGAACAATCGAATCTTAATGATAGAAGTCAGGTTTTGATTTGCATCCGTTGAAATGTTGGATAGAACCTAAATGAGACAGAACGCCTTCTATTCCTCAAGGGTGAAGCCTTCCACGATCTTGAGCTCGAAAAGTATATCGGCCCCTGATGCTCCCGCTCACCACCACTGAGTTTAACCCCCGACCAATAACAAGACCCTGTGTCCTCTTAGTGCCTTAACAATCAAAGGTCTCCTCAGTATAAAAATTCCAAATCCCTCATCCGGAAAACCCCTAAGGTCCGAAGTGAAAGATACCGCGCTCTCGCTTACCGATTTCTCGCCGCTTTCCCAGATTCCGCCCGAACCATGACGTTTACATTTTAGTACTCTCACATAACATTCCACGATTCCACTACGATCTAGCTTGTTTTTTTTTTACTAGTCACTCATTTTCTTCTTTTCCTTTCTATTATTGTCCGTACTAGTCTATGGTATTCTCTGTATTTTCTTGGCCTGTAGTATTTAATTAAGGGACCGAATTCGGCTCCCAAGGTGAATCAAATAATTCTACGCCCAATCGTACAGCGCTGCGATGACCATTTTCTCCGCGATCGGACCACACCTCACTCCAAGAAAATAGACCAAAGATCAACTACGACCAAATGATATGCCATTCACTATCCCATGGTCCGTTAATGCTGGCCCCGGGTTGAGTTTGGATTTATGGGAGATCTATTATTTGATAAGAGAATAACAAGATCTATTAGTAAAGCCACACAAAACTTCTTTTTTCTGGGGTCAACATTTCACTGATGGACATGGGATATTTCACTAAAATACCCCTACCATGAAATACGGCAATCTCATTTGGCTATAAGGGTATCTCTATATACGGCTAAATAGTAGAGTTAAGGCCCTACATACAACGGTCTAATCGTATCCCATATCCTCTCCGGCGCGTTCAATTAATCAATGAAAAAAAATGAATCAACGTCTAAATCTTCAATAATATGTTGGATGCACTGCTCAGGCATATATCCCCAGATACCGCATAAATAAGCGTTATAATAAAGTCCACTGAAACAATAGTTCTATAGACGGATTAGCGTTAGCATCATCGGAGATCACTCGCACTGATAACATCGAGAGCTCGCTCATCAAGAAACATCCGGATTTCGCAATTCCCTAGCACAGACAACCCGGTTAAAAAAGAAAAACATCCGCCCTGACCTAGGACTTTTGGTGGTATGTATGTATATCAAGGTCTTATCGCCTAGATGCATAATACTTCGAATGTTTTATTACCATCATCCTCCTGTGATGCAGTACTCTAGAGTAGCTTGGTCCTCCTACAGCCTTTAGAACACACATTACCCTACATTAGTACCTGCGATACCTGCACTGTGTGTGTCACCCTACTTCGTTCTTGTTCTTTCTCTTTCTTCGCGTTGATGTTGTCTGTACATTCCGCGGTGGGGATACGATTGGCGACCTCTTCAGTTATGCGCTGTTCTTTTTAGCACTGTACAAAAAAACATGGTGCCGATAACCTCTGGACCGGCCTCCCTAACTGGTCAATCTTCGGGTGGTCTTATCGCCGCGGGTGGTGGCATCAAGTCAAATACCACGCAAATGTATATTTTTCAAACTCAGTTTGCGGCCTATGCTGCATTTCTACTATAGACTTTTGTTTCTTCGTGTGGCTGGCTCCCAATGGTGCATCGAATATAATTGAAGTAATACGAAACTGCGATGGTCAGCCTGCGGTACCCCGAGATGAGGAGAAATACTCATCGAGGCTTCAAATTGGGTCATAGAAAGTCACACACGTAATACCCGTTGGTATTCTCCTGTTTGGTCGATCATCGGGTTTGAACTTATGCTTTGATCATAAGATGCTGCCTGAGTTATGACCCTTGGCGCCGCCAAGAGATATTTCTGGGTACGAGAGGCGGGTTAGGATTATTACCTTGCCTTTCTCAAATGTAACGAATTTCCATCCCTTGTATGTAACTTCACCGCCGTAAAAGCCATGAAACTTCTCCAAAAGAAAAAGAATAAAAAGCTAAAAGCAATGATAAGATATTTAGTTAATAGATCCTCGATCGCTGTCATGGCTATGAAGTTACAAGAGATTGAAAATGACTATTTTTTGTATTCAAAATGTGAACAGAGTAGGACAGCTCAGTGGTACCCGTTTATACCCCTGGGGGAGCAGAATCTTCTGAGCTGTTACGGACCAAAATTTGCGGAACTGGACCCTCTGATTGCCCTCGGAGTCACATTGCAGCTACCTGTATACCGCCGTGTCAACTTTAAGGCTAGACGTAATATATCCAGTTATAAGCTCAGGCTCTGGTTTTTTACTTGTATAAAATGCTCTCGTTGGGCATTATAGAACAGGTTAGGGAATTTTAGACGTCAGCTGATAACATAATTTTTATTATCCATGTCGTCATTACGAAGTACCAACCACCGCAATACAGGCTCCGGCAAAGCCAGGACCACTCCGAGAGAACCAGGGAAAGCAGTCATGTTAAGCAGTCTCAAGTTTCGGTAACTTTTTGGTTCAGTCATTGGTATTTGGGACTCAGTAGTTGAGCCTTTACGGGGAGACTCCAGCTCAATTTTCCGGTAACCTGATTGGTATAGATTTTCAAATCGACGAATCAAATAATTAAGGTTTCGAGCCGGAGTCTTTTCGCATGGGTTCAAATAAAAGATCGAAAGTGCTGAATGCGAATGCGGCAAAGGGGAGCAAAGTGTGACCCATATACTCACCGAATGCGATGCGATGGCCGAAACCCGCAAAACCTTCAAAGAGCATAATACGGTTGTCAAACTCCTCTGGAAGGCAAGTGGTATCGAAGCGGCTACAAAAATTTGGAAATAATTTGTTAAGTGGAGTTTTGAGAGAAACGGACAAGACGAGAACGAAGAAGAGGAGAGAAGAGAACTAGGGTACGGGTGGGGGATGCTGAAAGATGCAGGGAACGAAGAATAGAATAAGAAAAGGGCTTGTGGGCGTTGTTTTCCTATGTCAGAAATATGTGAGAGGAGGCGGAGGAGAAGGGGCAGTTCAGGGGTATTGCCATAACTGTAAAGTTGCATGCAATTAATGAATTAAACAAAAAAAAAAAAAAATGGGTTCAAATAAAGATTTCACAATGTATCACTCGGTCATGAATCGTCACTCTAAGCTTAGCGTAGCTTGGCATAGCTTGGCATAGCTTGGCGTACCTTGGCGTACCTTGGCGTACCTTGGCAACGCGAACACGGCGAAGTGTAAATTGTCGGCTTTAATAATCGGTGAATACTCTCTTTCTGTGTCTTCACTACTTTGTAGTCTAGCGGTCCTTTTATCTACTAGTTCTCTTTCCGTTATTCTTCCACCCCCTCCGCTATTCTACGTATTATTCTCTCTATTTCTTGGGCTTGTAATATTTAGACTTTTCCAGCTCCTGGATAAAATAAAGTCGCTCTACACCCAATCGCATCCCTGAGGAACTCAGTCCAAATCAAAATTGTGATCGAGCCAGCCTTAGTAGCTGTGCTCTGCTAGGCTAGTTCTGTCTATTCTGTCCTCGAGTTTCTTCTCACACGCTAGAAACTCCAGCTATCTCACCACAGAGCAGGAATAAGCAGTAACTGC